TCAGGCACAGAATATAGAATGACTCCAGATTTTTTTTTTTTTTTTTTTTTGGTACCGGGGATCAAACTCGGGTCCTTAGCTTTTGAGGCAGGCGGTGGAACCACTGAGCTAAATCCCCAGCCAACTCCAGCATTTTTAAATCATTATTTTAAAAATCAAATCTGAATTATAGTTGTGAACCACTTACAGACACTTAACGACTTCTTCCTGCCCTCTAAATTTGGCCCTAATTACTGCTACACTCAAAGACTGAATTATTTGTTCTAAATACCATAGCTACATTTCTTTACTTTCTTTCTTTTTTGTTTTTCATTTCTTTTTTTTTTTAAATTACAGTTTTACATTTCTTCTGCTCACCCCAGAGGACAGAGCTCGAGGGGAACAAAAGGGCCCTGTGCTCCCTGGCCCTGCCTGTCTGTTCTCACTGCCAGCCTCTGTCTGTTGCTTTCTGGGCTCCAGCCAGGTGGCCCTTCTGTCTATTCCCACCTTTGTACATGGCATCTTCTCTGCCTGAACTGTCTTGCTTCTGATTTTTTTTTTGCCTGTATAATGTCTACTCAAATTCTATGTCTCAGCTTAAATATTAGTTCCTCAGGGAAACTAACTCCTTGACTCCACAATCTAGAAATGTCCTTTTCTCATAATACTCTCCTTTTTTCCTTTCCTTTTCTCTACTGTAATTTGCACACAGCTTGGTTTTACTTACATTCATTTTTTGTGTAGCTATTAATTTAATATCTGTCTTCTTTACCAGACCATAAGCACTATAAGAATGGGAAGGCTGTATTTCAATTTATTAGAGCCCTAAAATAGAGCGTGGCATAATAACAGATGTTCAACAAATATGTGTTCAGGTAGAACTAAGCAGAGTTGGTTAGACAGAGCTCTAAATAAACAATATTCTATGCACATGTCTGCCAATGCGGCCTTCTGAATGTCAGGGACCAGTGGTCCTAGTCTCAGTATCCAATTCAAGGAGCCATGGAAAACAAATACTTTAGTTATTTAAAACTTGGTTTCAAACTCACAATGACATGGCAAATGTCTCATCTTTTCCAGACCAACCAATAAAAAAACACAAGTGAGTCCATTAGACCTGAGTTGAGTCTAGACTGTCCCAAAGAGGGCAAGAGACCTGCCGCCCCAGACCTGCCCTGGTGCATTCCTGGTCATAAAATAGACCTAGTCAGAAGGACTCAAACACACTCTCAGACACAGACAAGGTAGAATTAGATACTTTTAGGATCTCATTCTTGTTTTGTAAAAGTTGAGAGTCATATAAATGAGGGTTAAGTGTCAGCATTACTTGAACCTAACTTTGTTTTAAACTTTTTTCTGTAGAATCATGCTCTTCAGGGAGACAAGGATTTAACAAATATGGCTAGGAGGGAAGCAAAGTCTATAACGGGAGAGCAGAGAGAAGTTACCTCTTTAAATTCAGGTCACCTGACAAATTTCAGCTTTGTTGCTAAGAAAGCAACAAAGGAACTCACTAAAAGTGATTTGAGGAACTGTGAAAATTTAGAGTAGTAAGGGGCTAGTATGGGCAAATATCTTCTGCTTAGAATAAGAAGAAAGGAAGGAGGGATGAAGGGAGGGGAAGCAGGGAGAAAAGAAGAAAATCTGCAAACTATCACAGCTGGATGTTGATCTTCAACATTTGGAGTGTATGATCAGCAAATGGCTTGTATATATAAACAATGAGGAATCGTGATCATTAAGTGTTCCAAAGTAGTGGCAAATACTGTTATTCTAGACTTTCTTTTGGAACAATGTTATTTCAGGCTTTCTTTTGTTGAGAACAATTGCTAAAATTTTTTTAGTGTTATTATGCCTTAGGCATCCTACATATATTATTTCCCTTTCTCCCAATTATCTGTGGGCAAGTATAATTATTTCTATCTTATAGTTAAAGCAAATTTTTGAAATTTTTTTACTTTTTGCATGAAATTCATATATGTTACCTAGAAAAATTCGAGGAACAAGAATTTGAAGAGAACACATTTCATTATGTTCCATTGTTTTGGGTGTTCCAAAAATGTATTGCTAGACATGGTTAAGCAAGTGATTTCCTAAAGTCATAAAAACAAGAGGCCACACCCACCTGACTCTCCCACACCTCAGGAGTTACCAACTTACTAAATTGGGAGGAACCTTACATTTCAATAGGCATTTGATAAAGCAAATCTGTAGATGACAGAATGCCCATGACAAAGATGCTATATAACAGATCAAGGGCTTCTAAAGACTACTTGGTCCTGTTGAAATCACCATGTAATTTGCTAATTTGGATAAAGGAACTACCAGCAAACTCGCCAGTTGTGAGAATGGCATAAACATGGGTGAATGGTTAAGTTGCAAAATCAGGCCTTAAGAGCTACTTCTATACCTGGAAGAAAGTGCAAAAATCCATAGGGTGGTTTTGGTAGAGATAAATATAATGACTTGTATTTAGGATCAAACAAATCAAATACGTAAGAATAGAACTGAAAAGGCCTGAACCAGATCTATTCAGGCAACCAGAAATGCAGAAAGGAAGAAGACAAACTAAGGATTATCATAAATTGCATTTGTCTAATATGTTAATACAATGTCTGGTAAAACAGCAAATGTTATTTTGGATCCACTTAATAGAACTATAGTGTTCTGATCAGGAGAATTATAGTTCCATCACACTACATAATCAGATCAGACCTAGAATACTGGGTTCAGGAATTCAATTACTAGACAGTGTAGGAAGAGGTCAGCCAGAATGGTGAGAGCACTACAAATGATGCTAAAGGTGGCCTTACTTATAATAAATTTAGTGTTCAAATAGCCTCTATATAGTTCAGGAATATCTACATGGGAAAAGCCCTCTCTCTATTAGTCAGCTTTCCCTTCTCTGGGACAAAATATACTAGCCCAACTTGATAAGCTGGTGAGTTTGGACACCTGCAGTAACTCATTACTCCTTTCCCTGCAACTTGCCCAGCTTGGCATGCAGTTCAGACTCAATAGATGTAGACTTGGTGACTGAATGATTAAGTCCACCCTTCACTCCTAGAGCCATAGGACCAAAAAAAAACTTTAGATAGTAGCATTTAATGGGGAAACTCGCAGATAGAATTTTAAATAGGAATAATGAATCTGTATTACTTAAATACACTGAATTTAATGACTCTAATTAAGTCCTCAGCATGCTGTTAGTAACAAAAGGAATGAAGTATGGTAGTCACAGTGGGGCTGATGGTGAGGGAAGAGGCCCCTTTCTTGGAGGCACTGAGTCTGTGACTACTTTTTGATGAGGTCTCAGGAGAGAAAGGCACATGGTCCACCGAATCCCAAGTACTGAGGATTTCAGCCCAACACTCCCTCCTGGGGCTGGCTAGTGCCTAGGGAATCTGGAAAACCTCCAGCTGCTCCCCAGAGATGCAATCAAGGAGGTGCTGCCGAAGAGTTGGAAGCTGCTTGCATTCCTTTTTGGCCCTGTTACATTCACCATCATTCCTTAGCACCTGCTGAAGACCTGTGGTTGCAAGAGACCATGAAATAGCTGTAAATTCACAAAACAATGGGTGAGCACAGTAACCTGAGCAAGATTCAAGTTATAACCCCATCAGATGTGGTCATTATTTGAATATTGTTTGTATGTTTGGTAGGGCAAAGAGGAAATGGCAGTATGTTAAAATGTGGCCCCGTAATTGTGAGATTCTAAAAGAACCAGGTAATAATTTATCAATTTAAGAGTCTAAGAGATGAAAGTTGAAGTGTTTTAAGTTATTTCTCCAGCTCTGATTGAGCGAGGTTGTAAATTATTTCCTTTCTTCTGTTCTATACTTCAAATTCCTGATCTATAAAATGAAGGAATATGCAAAATGATCTGCATGTTTCCCTGGGCGTTTATACTCATATACATACACACCTATTATATATATACATATATATATATATATGTGTATATATATATATATAAAATGTACATGTAAATGTGTGTGAATCATATATGGATATATCTATATCTATATAATATTCAAACTAATGCCACTACCCACCCATTAAGTGGAAGGTGATCCTGGGCTCAGAGGACTTTTGTGAAGGAGGGCTTAGATGGGACGCTTTCTGCCACAGTAACCTCACCTTTGCCTCTCTCTGCCAAAGCGGCGCCTCCCTTCTCCCCGCCCAAACCAAGGCGGCTTCAGCCAGTTTCATTCCAGCGTCCCCCAGCTTCGCTTCCAGTCGTTCTCCACATCCCACCTCCCTCCTTTCAGAGAGCGGAACTCACACTGTCTACGTGGCTCCTGGGGAGCGCCGCCGGGCTCCCCGCGCACTCTACCCCCCAGCCCTGTTGGCTGCCGAAGCTGCTCCTCATCGCGGCCAGCTTCGGGCTCCGCAGCGGCGGTCACCACCAGCGCTTCCTGCTGCCACATGGCGCGGACTCTTGGCATCTACAGGCAGCCAGACTTTCTCAGCTCTGCGGAAGCTGCCTGGCAACGCGAGGCGTCTTCAGTTGCCATAGCGACATAGGAGGCTTGCTGCTCAACTTCTGGCCTCAAGTCCGACCTCCTGCGTGTCAAAGGTGCTGAAATTCTGGAGCTGCGATTACTTACTGACCAAAGTAAGGGGCCTAGCATTAATCTCTAATTTTTCTCACACCAGCTCTTCAAGAGAGGCTTTTCAGATCCCTGATGAGGAAACGAAGTTCAAAAACACAGGAAAACCTCTCAGGCCACACAGTAAGAAGTGGTGAGCTGGAATGTTAACTACAAATGCCTAATTCCAACATCGGGGTAGGTCACTGCCCAGAACAGAAAAGGTGTGGAGGGCGGGCAGGTACTGGGCAGGTGAATTCAAGATATGGTCTCGGTTTAACCAATGTCACACCTGTTGCATCCCGTTGCCTGCTACACGCAATGTGATTGAATAAATGAATATTGAGGATTCTCAACTTTTGGATTGTAAATTACTATTATTAAACAATTATAGCTTCCCAAATACTTTTGTATTCACAATCTGTTTCAATCCATATTGCTACGAAAAAAAAGGAAGAAAAAATAAAGGTATGAACTCAACAGGACAGATGTATTTCAGAACAACCTGAGAGGGACACCGCTGGCACTTAGACCAGACCAGTAACCCCGACAGGCTATGGGGACTTTTATAGGCTCATGAGCATAAAAGGGAGCTGTGAAAGGAAAAGGTCAAAATGGAACTTTCGAGGGGAAGGTTCAGTGGAAAAGAGTTGTGACTACCTGCCAGGGACAAGGCCTGAGAATGTACAGGGAGTACATGCCTGTTAAGGGCAGGGCTGAAGAATGGTGGGAGTTATGGGATGTAGCCATGGTAACTGGGCCTCATTAACCCATGGTTTTTTAAAAAATTAATTTTATTGGTACATTTTAGGTATACAATATAATGACATTCATCATTGGAAATGTGCACCTTTACATAATCTCTCCTGGTTTTTATTTTTTCCCATTCCCCTACCCTTCCTTGAACTCCTCCATCCCACCCCATTTACAAACACTTTGTTTCCATTTTTTTAATTTCTCATATTAATTCCATTCCCTTCTTTCCTTTCCCCGACCCCTCCCACTTCCCCTTTCCCTTTGCCCCTTTTCTTCCTATTTCACATTATCTATTATACCTTTTAGTCCTTCTTTACACTTTCAGTTTCTCACACTAGAGAAACTATTTGGTATTT